TTGATGATTCAGTGTAGGAAAAATGCATTTGCTGTACTTGACCCTGGCTTACACATTACCAATAAATAATTGACATTGTGTTGGCTTATTGATCTGGACTATTTTGAAACTGATTTGAAAAGTTATGTGAGTATTAGTGAGGTGAACTGTTTTGTTTTTTTAAAAGATGTAATTACTGCAATTGATGGAACAGTATGTTTTCTTTTATTGCTGTGAGCCACCCACAGAGCTTCAGCCATTGAATGATACAGAAATGTCATCAATACCTACAGGCAACTAAGAATGGATTGCTTCACGCACAGAAGGCATTATAAAGGCCATGCTGCTGTACTGACAACCAGACTTAGTTATCTGCTAACATGTCAGTATCCACTAGATGGCAGAAAAGCAGCACATAATTCTGCAGAAACAGTACCATTACAAATTGGTGGATTTATATAACCACTAAAACTGACTACTGGAAAAAGGCCACATGACAACAAAAGCTAGATCAGAATGATCCATTCATAATAGATTTGTGTCCTCTCATGGCTGAAACAGACTCATCCCTAATTTGCTGGGCATAGGAGAATCAATCGGGCAGATCCATTGTTCATACAGGACTTCTGCCTAGCAGGCAAAGCTGGTATCATTCTTTGTTCTCCCTTTCATTCAACCAAGAGTACTATTTCATTTGTAATGGGCAGGCTGTCCCTGAAGGCTACTGATGTACACTGGAGTAATCTTTATGTCTCTGCTGAACTGATCAATCCACAATGTAATAGTTGTGCTTGTTGTGATGTAGTTTCAGACATCACCTGACTTAGCTGGTGTATTGGCATAGAACTTTCATAAATATTACAATTGCTCAGGGAACAAGCCTGTCAGAACAAGCTCAATACCAGTATACAATAGTACACGATCTGTCCATGATATGGAATGAACATTGCAGTATTTTGTGTGAGTGATCTCAAAGTGGACAGGAATGGGACATTTTCAATCAGACACACAGAAAGTGTTTTACTCCCAAATTGGCAAATGCAGAAGAAATGGAATGGCTCTAATACTGAGGCAAGATGTATCACAGGCAGTAAGAGGCTATAATGCAAAATCCAACCAAACAGTACCAGAATTAGTGGAAAGCCTATCAACACAGCCACCATTCAAATCTGCACTCCAACAAAAGATGCTAAAGACAAAGACATTGAAAACTTTTATGTAGGTGTTCAAGAGGAACTGGATAACACTTCAGAACAAGGCATGCAGCTAATCCTAGGTGACTGGAATGCAAAACAGGAAACAAAGCAGAAACAAATATTGTGGGAAAATGTGGCCTGGGGCTAAGAAATGAAACAGGAGAACAACTCACAACATTTTGTGACTCCAACAACCCGTTCACTGCAAACAGGGGCTTTATGTAACCATTCAGATGATTGTATACATTGGCTTCGAAAGATAGCCAATACAGAAATCAAACAGATTATATTGGATTGGTAGCAGAAGGTGGAGCCGTGGTATTCTTGCTTTCAAGACAAGACCAAGGACAGATTTCAGCACTGTTTATCAGCTCTTGCTTTCAAAAATCGAGTCAGGCTAAAAATATAACCAGAGGAAACATAGTGCCAAATTATAATTTAAGTAACATCCCTGAATAATATTAAGTCCACACGGAGAAAGATTTGCGTGCTCAATTTAATTGACCATGAGCCAGAAGAACTGTGAACCGAAATCAGAAATATTATTAGGAAAGCTTGCCAAAAGACAGTTCCTGTAGCAACAAGAAAGAAAAAGCCTCAGCAGAAGAAACAGTCACAGTTGTAAAGGACAGGTGGGCAGCATAAGCAAAGGCAGGGTCCGAGGCTTAGAATCCTGAGTGTAACTTTTCAGCAGCTATCACATTTTTTAGAGACAAAATGATCAGTACAAAGAAATAAAGGATAGCAACAGAGGGGGAAAACAAGAGACCCTCTCCAGAATGAAGATGAAAGGGAATGAAAAAAAAATAAATAAAAGGAAACATACTATCTGACCAAGAGAATATAAAGGGAAGGTAGAAAAATATATCCAAGGAGTATACAGAAGAGAAGAAATGTTGACAGAACTTTTTCAAAATGGAACACTATGAAGAAGAGTCTGAAATATTAGAAAGCAAAATGAAAGCTGTTCTGAAAGTGCTTGCAAAGAATAAAGCAGCTGGAGTAGATAGAATAGACATACAACTATTTCAAACTGCAGAAAATGAAACAGTACAAATCCCAAAAAGATACATCAACAAAAATGGAAAACAAAACAACAGCCCAAAGACTGGAAGAGTTCGATATATATTCTAGAAAGGAAAAGCAAAAGTGTGCAGCAACCATACAACTGCACTGCATGGGCATTGATCACTCATGCAAGCAAAGGGATGCTCAGAGTGTTGCAACGACGAACACTACTCAGTTGAATTATTGGGTTATTATTTGGATTATTCCCTGGATTGTAATACCTCTCATTTGGATTATTGTGATGATGTCTACATGGGACTGCCTTTGAGGATGAACCTGATACTTATGTTGGTTCAAAATAGAACAGTACAGCTGCTGACGGGGGACTGGCCAATATGATCATATTACACCAGCCCTCTTTCAAATCTTCCAACTCCATTGGCTACCAATTGAAGTATGGGCCTGTTCCACACTGCTCACATTAGTATTCAAAGCCCTAAATGGCATAGGGCCAGATTATCTAAAGGAATGCCTCTTCCCATATAATCCTACCTGGACGCTGAGGTCCTACTCAGAGAGCCATCTCCAAAGGAAATAAAGAGGGTGGCTACAAAGGGAAGGACCTTTTTGGCTGTGAAACCCCAACCGTGAAACCAGTTTCCCAAGGAGTTGCACCTGATGCTCACTCTTTATCTTTTTTGATGCCAGGTAAAAAACCATTTATATTCACCCAATATTTTAATAGTTAAATAATTTTAAGCTTTTTATAACATTAATTTTTCCTTGTTTATGTTGCATTTTACTGGATTTATTGCTGCTGTACCCCTGGACTAACTTGAATATAGGAATGAATATATTAACTAATTAGTTCATAAAAATTTCTAAGAAGTCAAGCTTTACTGCCCATGTTAGATTTTGGGGTGAAAATTAAAGGAATAATTTAAATTAGGGTGAGTATATTTATCATTCTAAATATATTTTATCTAAACTGTATTGTTTATGCTGATGTCAGCTTTCAGCATTCATTTTATTGTTGTTGTTGCTGTTATTACATTATAATTATATTCCACATGTCATCCTCTTGCAAGGAATCTAGTTGATGTATCAGAACAAATTGCATCTCAAAAATACTTGTCTTTCAGTACCTGCCTGGTGGGTATGAGAAATTTATTTCTGGGGTGGTGCATGGACCCAATTATCTTTCTGTCCCATGCTGCTTGTGTCCAAAAGCAATGTGGAAAGCACCCAAAGTGACTTGTTGTGATTAACAACTGTCCTTTATTGAATGAATGCCAGACATTCTGGAAATTGGGAAATTACAGTGCAGGAAACCTTGGGGATAGTTAATTAAATTTACATCTAATACATATAAACAAGAGCTGGTGTTGAATGTCACCCCTGTCTAAAAATCAGAGAAATGAAGTGTCATGTTATTTGCAATATGCTTGCTGAAAGAAGGTGGATGACAATTGGCTGTGAACAGAATCCTAAATTTTCCCTTGTCATCTTGTTTTCCACTCACTTTTACCTTTAGGTAATCTGCACTTAGGTCAATGGCAGAAAACTGGCCAGAAAACTGTGTTCCAAAAACAACTTTCATTGCTATGCTGTAGAAAATATATACAGAGAAAACTTAGTATTTTTCTCCATGAAGTCCTTTTGTTGATATGGTTCACGCAGAAAGAACAGCAGCCAGGTATTCCAGGAAATGTGGGGGTGCACATGTGACTATTCTGCCAAAGAACAACAGATGTTCCAGCCAGGTCTGGCACTAGCATCTGGCACCCCTGGGCAGATGATGAGGCTCCAGAAGCACCAGGTCTATGTGGCTAGACTTGCTCACACCACCATTCCGATTCCCCCCTCCCCATTATGTCATGCTGTACATATAACTTGCACTACATTATGTACTGTTGTAAGCTCCCTAGAGAACCCCATTGGGATAACTGGTGGAACACAAGTGCAAAAATAAATTGCATGGGAATTCGACCAGTGTGAGGCCAGTCACATACTCAGAGTTTGTTGGAGTCCATATTCAGACACTGGGTAACTGAAGGCAGAAGTGGTTAGCGCAAAAGGCAAACTGGCCCAAAGTTCACATAAAACCCACAAATTCCACACCCCCCTGCTAAACATGCTTTCTAAGAGGAGCAACCAGGTGCCCTCCAGATGTTTTGAACTTCTCTCCCATTAGTCCCAGACAGGGATCCCTGGGCAATGAACAGGGGTCCTAAGAGTTATAGTCCAAAACATCTAGAAGATTGGGAAAGGCTGTTCTGATGTATCATTTCCAGTCTGTATGATTAGGATTACTAATCTGTATAAAACGCCACTGGCCAAGGTAGAGTAAGCAAATCTTATCTTTGAGGAAAGTATCCCATAGAAATGCCTACCATTCCATTTGATAATGTTGTTGCTCATACTGTCAAACACCTGCTATCAGAAAGGAAGGGCAGGCACTCTGGGATCATCAGTGCCTTCTGGGCAGTGGCATGGACAACGGGAGAGACCTTGGACAAGGTATCTTGAAAAGATGGAAGTCAGCAGGCATGCAGGCACTTGTAGTATCCAGGGGAGGTCTTCAAGAAATAGAAGACTGATCTGACTGGAATTCGAGAAACCAGTGATTAAAAAGTACTTAGTAAAGCCAAGTTGAATCATACCAAGTGAGACAAGGCATGAAACCTCAAACAAGCCAGAACAACGAAGTAATATCACACCTAAAATATAAGGCAGTATCATACTGTTCACTTCAGTGTTTTATTTTAAATTACAAACAACTTGATTGTGATTTTAAAAAATGCACATTCAGTCAGTTCCAAATGATTGTATATGAACTGTAATATCCACAGAATTACAATATCAAAACAACTCATCCAAAAGATAATTTCTTCCTGCAAAACCATATAAAACCCAGTCCAAATGAGCAGAATCCAGTGACATTCTATAGATATTGTTTCCTTTATAAGTTCTTATCCAGCCAATCAATGTAGTTGTTGGTCATCCTCTGTCCCATATTTAGGATAAATGGACTTGTAATAAACATCAGAGCACCATGAACAGCATTCTCAACATGGTCATGTACTACTGGAACTCCAACTTTCCGAAGTCGTGAGACATACATGAGTCCATCATCCCTCAAGACATCATATTGACATGTGACAATGTATGTGAGCGGTAAGCCACGCAACTTGATGTCGTCAGCTAATAGTGGTGCTGCTCTTGGATCCAGGAACCCAGGGTACTTCTGTCCAAGTTCAGAATTTCCATGTTTCGGACTGGTATAAACATGACCTTTTTTAAACTGTTCCGGTAGCCAGTTACTCCAGTTTACAAACTTGAACAAATGACTTTGTTCCGGAGGAACATGTTGGTTAGCTTCCATTGCTTTGTTTAGAGCAATGTCAGTTGTAAAGTATTCACTGAAGAATCTGAGCATTAATGATTTAGGCAGAATTGGCATGTTTTCATTATCTTGATAGGATGGCAAATCCAGATCAATGGTCTGAAGAGCTGGATAAAATAATACTTGGATCTTGAATTTAACTTTGACATCAGGCTCATCCAGAAGCTATAACAATTTCAGGAAAAAATGTAATTAATGACTGCATTTTTCTCCATGAAAGATGGGCGCTCTAACCAGAAAACAGGTTTAATATATTGCAATGCAAGCAGAAAGACGGGTTGCCCCTTTCTAGATTGCCTACTTCTTTTATTGAATTATTTACTGATTCCAACCTGTTTTCATTTAAGGAGTTCAGTTTTAAAAATCTGTTCACATCTGCTAGGCATTTCACAGGACACATGGGGAGTTGCCAGTGCAAAGTCAATATTCTTTCAATTTTTCCTCCCCAAATGCATCACACATTAGAAGCCCTGCATTAGAAGTTCCAAGTTCAGTGTGATGATGAGCATAATTCTAAGAATGCTTATTCAAAACAAAGTTTTCAGTTCAACAGCACTTAATCATACTTAGAATTTCAGTCTTGCTCCCACGAGCTTTTAGTTTCAGTTCCTTTTGATAAAAACTTAGTAAGAATTTTCTTTTAGGAAATTGCAAAGAATGGCAAAATCCAAATGCAAGAGAAACCAAAATTGATAGGTTTATCTTTCCACACTCAGAGTGCTTAGCTATGTGTATTCAAACACAGTACTGCTTAAGCAGGATTGGTATCTCATTTTAAAAACAGAATTCTTTAAAAAAAAAAAGTCTAAAAGGCAAGAAGTTGCATTATGGTCCACACTGTGCTCAGAATTTGGGGTGTGCAAGGAATCTGGTGGGAGTTTGTTTCAAAATTTGGTAGATTGGTCTTACTCAACCCCCAGACCAGCCTGGCAACCAAGAGCTGACACCAATTTTCTCTGACACCTGTAGCTTCCGCGTCCACCTGTGCATGTGTGTTCTTACAGCCAAGGAAATGTGTATAATTTCTTAGCTCAATTTATGTGAATTGCACAAATTGTAGCAAGAATTTATGCAGTTTTCCTTGGCTTTTAAGCAAACCACAGCCTTGTTTCAAAACGGAAGCCATGAAAAGAAACCTGACCCAGCTTCCAGTAATCTATCATGTAGGCAAGGTATTAAAATCTGCTCAGCACATGAAGGTCAAGTTTTCTGATGTTTCCCAGTTACTCAAAATATCTGTACCTACAGAATTTGGTTTGTGCAAATGTGTGAGCATTTAGCTTAGAAAAAGAATTTACCAAAAATTGCAATGTTCATATTCAGGAGATAAAGAAGTTGAATATTTAAAAATCTGAAAGAGGGAGAAAGCAACCCTGACATCTTTGCTTTCTTCCTCACCTCCAAATAAACAGCCTTAAGTTTCCTGAACCTCTAGGGATGAGAGAAGAGTTATCTCCTGCTATTTTAAAGTAGTCTTTGTTCTGATGCCTTAAAGTTATCTTGAAGATTCATATAACTCAGCTCCCACTTATATCATTCCCCTTAAGTGCAGGGTAGGAGTGAATAATAAGGTAATAGGTACTAGACAATTTCGTATCTCCAAATCTGTGGAAGCAATTGCCAAACAGCTACATAGTGATGGTTTGGCTTTTCAACTGGCACACTTTGAAATTATTGAAACCAGAAGTGCCCCCTCAGTTTGTACCCTCTGAAACATTTCTTGACCAAACCAGGCATAGGGATTTTCTACATCCACCCTATAAAATTTCTGTAAAACCTAGCAGTAAGGCACTGCCTTATTGGAATTATGTGCTGGAATTATGTGGGAGGAAATCCACTTGTCTGACCCTGACTCCTCCCAATTTTAGTTAGATCATGCCCCTCCTGTTATGCTAATAGGGGCAACTAAGGCTGCAGTTCTCTGGCCTTTTGACATCATCAAAGAGGATCATTGTATTGTCTGGGCAAACCTCTGTTCCTTGCAGTCAACATCATATGAACTGTCCTGGCTGCCTGCCCAAGGTTGTAAATTGTCCTCAGAGAGTGAAAAAAGGGGCCCACTGGAGAGTCAGGAAGGGGAATAGGCTGGGGCTCACAGCTTATGCCATATCTCGATGGCACACCAACCTCCTTCTGCCCCCCCCCCCTGCTCCCCCCCAAACCCCAAAAGGAGCAAACATTTTTGGCCCCCCCCCCCCCCCCCCCCCGCTTTGGATGCCTGTAAGTCTCAGCAGGTAGCTGAGGTATCTCTATTTAAAATGTCCCTCAATACCCTTGGGCACTCTGAGGCTTTGTCAGACATTAAAAGTGGTAGCTTACGAGACTTTTCTACCTAGTGTGGGAGATCCCAGAAGCTCCCCAATGTTACCAGGAGCTGCTGCTGGCCCTGCGTTTCTTCCCATGGTTTTTCTCCCATGAAGTCCCAGAATGACTTCGGACAACAGTCAATTATATAGCAGAGTTTATATACACATCTAATTTCCAGTTCTGGCCACTCGAGTCAAGCAACTCACTCCCAAGTCTGACTCAAGTCACATTAGCGACTTGACTTGGACTTGACTCAGGACCAACGACTGAGTGACTTGACTCGACTTGAGATTTCTACACTTTTATGACCAGGAAACTCCAGGGCTTGCAGCAGGATATCCTTGAAGCAGCAGCGGCAGTGGGAGGGAGGGAGTTTCAAGGATGTGGGGGCAGGATAGGGAGGAGAGGGTTGTGATAGGGGGAAGGAAAGGTTCCAGCTCTTCTTTTTGGCTTGTGGTAGGCCAAAAAGGGGGAAGGGGTTCTGATATAGACAGAAGACTTCAGCTCTTTTTTAGCACACTTTGCTTTCCTCATCGGGAAACACAACAGTCAATGCATCACTCAGAGAAGTGCAGATGGGAACATTGGGGGGGGGGCAGGGTTCAACTCTCCTATCTCCACACACAAAGCTCACCTCCACCTCCTTTTTTTTCCTGTTAAAGTTGGCTCTTGAAACTTGAGAGGAGGCTTGCGACTTGACCTGAACATTTCCAGCAATGACTTGAGACTCAATTTGGCCTTGAACTAAAGACTCGAGACTTGACTTGAGACCGGAGTAAATGACTTGAACAGATTGCTGCTAATTTCAGCAGACAATGCCCCTCCATTTGGGGTTCATTTATTTACAGGGGTCTCTGACTCACCTGCTGTGCTACAGCTGCAGCTAGGTTCCCTCCTGAACTGTCTCCCGCAATGCAGACCCTGCTTGGGTCTACATTGTATTGTTTGAGAACACTGCTTTGAAGGAAGTACTTTGCCACTGTTTTCACATCTTCAAACTGAACTGGAAAATGATACTTCGGTGCCAGTCTGTACCTTTTGTGAAGGGATTGAATAAAGAAGAGAGCATGAACCACACCTGCTGGTTGTGCAAAACAAAACAAACATTTTACATCTGACTTTCAAAATGGTGTTAGAGATTTCTGCCCACAGTTAACCTGATTTGCTCTTCAGTCTTGAACTCATATACTCCGTTCCTCACAACCCTGATTTTTCCTCCAACCATGAACAGAAGACTTGAAGCTTTGCCTCCATTTTCTAGGAACCACAAATGTCTGAACTGGGAACTGTACTTAGTGGTAACTATGGTTTATTGGGAAAAAATCACAATAATTGATGTAAGTTTATTCAATTGTAAATGGAAGGAAAGGCTTTGAATCTTCTTATGCTGCCTGTTTAAGGCTTGTGTGGGTAATACTAAATTATTATTTAGCATTACCGGTGAATCTAGACAGCACCATTCTTATAAACAATCTAATGTTTATAGGGCAGACCAGTGTTCAAGGCTACAGTCCATGAAAACTGGTAGAGGTGAACAAGAAATACTTTGATCATAGGAACTCAACTAGCATACACTGAATGCATGGAGAAGTTGAATGTGCCTCCAGCAGCACCTTTGACAGGATGCCTGTGAAGGGGAGCCCCCACATGCTAGTACCACCACTAGCAAGGGATTTGCAGTAGTCTATGGAGCACCTGGCATCTACAACAGGGCCAGCCAACACAGCCCTGCTTCCCTTTCACATGTTGGATGTGGCGTATGGGGGATGCGTGTGTAGAAAAGGCCTTCAGAAATTGGCTTAGGCTCAGTTGTGACCTTTCTTGCTTCTGGCTCACAGCATGAAGACAGCAGAAAAAAAAGAGGATTCAGCTTCTTTTTAGTTCAAAAATGGAAGAGCAGACATACATACCAATACACCAAAGGTTGGTGTAATACCAAATAGCATTAATATCTTTAATGGCATCCATTTAGTTTTTTTATGCTCAGTCACATTTCAGCCAAGTCACATTTCCCTGGGTAAACTTTTCTAATGCCAAAGACATCACATTTCTGGTTTTGTTAGAATTCTTTAAGCTGTTAGGCTAATGTTTCCTGATGCACAGGACACCAAATTTCTGTATCTGCAGAATTCACTACACTTCCCACTCTCTTCTGCAACTGGTGTGAGGCTGCATGCCCAAACAATGTTGATTAGGTTACTTATGGGCCATTCTGTAGTACAACAACTACCCCTCCAAACTGCTGCAAATATTAAATTCCAACTACAGAACACGAGGCTGGACTGGACTGGACTGGATTGACTCCATAAGGAAGCATTTTCAAGAGCTGAGCAGGGCATTTTGGAGACTTGACAGCATCCTCGTAGCAACAACAAAGGATTCTTTGGTCTTCTTTGCAGCCTCAATAGCAGAACCATTTTCAGCTACTACTGCATAGGCTCAAAATAAGGAGATGTAAAATATCCTTCCCTCTACTCAGGGGAGTCAGGAACTTTCCAAGAACATGTAGAACATTATCTAACTCTTACTTATGTTTTGGCAACAGTGTTATGGGCAGGGTTAAGACACTGACTGAAAAGGGAGAGGCCAAGCATGCTCTTCCCTTGCCAGCTCTGCAGGTCTTCTGTACTATTTCTAAAAAATACAGTGTTGTATTATTTCTCTCTTTGTATTTAAGAGTTATCTGGGTTCTAAAGAACACACGGGACAGAGTTCTTTACAGAATTAGATTTGCAGTAATGAAATATATTCAACAATGTGGGCAGAGGAAGGAATAGAGGTTTCATTTTTTAATTTCTGAGATCCTCTGGTGGATTTGAGGATGCTCAATAGCATATGTTAGAGGAACCTGGTGGAGCAAGAGAAGATGAATTTACTTCTGCTCATCCATAGGCCTTGACCCTTTCTTCTGCTACTCTGCTCCTTCCTGCTGGGAAAAATCCTCTTGCTGCATCCATCATAGTGGAACTGGAATAGATAGCTATGCAGGACCACCAAAAATCCTGAGATGTGTTTCTCCTTACCTGAGAACTCCTGTCCTCTCTTGGTCCAAAGTCCAAGCCTACATGCAAGACTTTCTTGTTTGGGTTGTTTTCAACAGCTGCTGCTAAGTAGACTGGGGTAATTTTAATCTCTCTATTTTAGATATGATCATTTTAGTGAGCTGAGATTACACTTAAAAAGACCCGTTAAAGTGAGTGGGACTACCCATGCATGTCAGTCAGGAGTCTATTCTAAATATGATAAATCTGGGACCCAACCCATTACATTCTTCTTTTTCTTAAGCTGTGTAAACTGCCAAGCCTTGGAACAGCAAGGACAGAAACATGGGGAAGATGAGTGAACTTGCCAGATAGAAATATAGGACAAGTTTTATTATTTCTGCTATGCTGGAATTGTATGAAAATTAGTCTTGCAAGCTTGCCAAAAACAGAACAAAAACTAAGTTACAGAAGAATGTGATGCTTGCTGTCAAAATTGGATTTTTCACCAATCCCAGATTTATTAAAACATTCTTGAAAACAGTCCAAATATATAATTTCTCATGTAACATTTTCTTGACTGGATTGGAACTTGCATAGTATTATGTATGTATTAATATAATCATTTTAACACCAAATCGTATTCCCAGGGTGATTTACAAATGGAATAAAACAATTAAAACGTAATGTCAAAAAATAAAATGACCAACCTTTAAAATGTGACTAGCAGTAATAAAACCAAAAAACCTATCACCTACAATAATTTTCAAATATGATTTGAAATAGTAAATAGTATTTAAATCCAGGCGAAATGCAGAGATCATAAAAAATAGTTTTGGTTTCCTTCTAGGACAGAGTTAAGCACTAATGGCTCAGTCTAAAGTCCTCGGAGGCTGATACATGTAAGCTCAGAAACTGCAATGCAGAAGCTTACATGCATCCAACAGCCAGAGCAAGGCATGTCTGCAGCAGTCTTTGGTGCCACCCTGCATCATGCCATTTCATATTTGCAAGCACCATTTTTAGTCATCTAGGTTTAGGGCGAGGGAGGCTTGGGACAGGAGGCTGCATCATCAGTAGAAATTAGCATGAGGCAATGGTCCCCTACCTCCCCCTCCCCTACCTTTTTCTCCTCTCTGCATCCAAGATGCGTCCTTAGACAGGTGAACGACACAAGTCTTTCTGCCCTGGCAATGAAGTGGGCAGGACATGGGTTCAGCCTCCAAAGCTACAGGACCTCAGAGATGGGTCTCTGAAAAATCCCATGGCCACCCAGACAACATCAGGTAGCTCTAGGGTTGTACCCCAAAGCTCACTGCAGTCAGTGGGTTTTCACATACCCTTGCATGTGTCGTGTTGCTGCAGTTAAGTTTAATTTTCTTTTCTTTTTGATAGGTCAGTGTCCATTACATGCACAGGGAAAGCAAGAAAGAACAAACATTCTCCTTAGCATCCATTTTAAGCATTGGCCCTTACTCGACTGATATGATGACAGCATTTAGTCTTTCTGAAGTCCATCTCGACAGGACATCATAGGGTTCCATGGCTGCAATAAAATCAGTGATGAGGCATTTTTATTGTTCGCCCAAATCAAATAGAAAAATACTGTTTCTCATTTTCATGGCAGTGGCTTTTGAGTGCTTTCCATGCATCTGAGATCTTCTACACTAATATTAGTGGGTTATCCCTTAACGCAGCATTCCCTAACCTTGTCCTCTCCTCTAACACTCAGAGTTCTGCTTGTATGGTCATGCAACCTGGCGATGATGGGATTGCAGCCCAGCACATCTGGAGGGCATTAGATTGTGGAGGGATGCCTTGTAGTCTGCTTATTTGTGCCTGGCTTTTCATAAGCAGTTAAATTCCTCATTTTAATAATCTTCCATATCTATTTTAGGTGGGTCTACATGTCTAGCATAGGATAGTCTGGCCACATCACTCTTCGCAGACGGTAAAGCGCTTGCTTATGCATTCCGTGCTTTGCAAGGTTTAGAAGGCACCCTAAGGGTACAATCCATTTGTTTCCATTTTGATGCCTGTAAGCCTCTGAACCTGGAGACTGGTGGGCATTCTACACTCTAAGCAAGGTACAGCAATGGCCATCTCTTCCACCACCATGCCCCAAGGCCTGATTTTTCTCTAGACAGCTATTTTCAGCCAGAAAGTGGGGTGAAGGAGGCTGGGATGCCGACTGGAATGCAAGACCGCATTTTCCCATCTGGATCTTTCTAGGCTGTAAGATTTCTGGTGAGGCCCTTCTCCTGCTCCCACTACACTCACAGGAATGCTTGGTGGGAACACAGGAGAGGACAGAACTGTACACTCCACACAGCGTGCCTTGTGTACCTTGCCCTTTGCTTCAGGCCAAAAAATGTCTTGGGCCCAGTAAGGCTTCACCATTTCCATCTCCCAAAATATCTGTGCCTTTGCATTCTTCCTCACTTCAGCATAGCCTACGTCTTTCCATTCGCTATCTATATTTTGAATGGCCTTATACACTTTACAGAACAGTTTGGAAGCTATTGTACTTATAATCTGTCAGCTCTATTAAGCTCTCTTATTTATTAACTACCATATAGACCAGGTATTTCCCTACTGAGTAGGGAGTTCTTTATGCTCTTTAAGTTAGCATGTTCATATATCATTTGTAGTGCTGCCTCATGGCCCCTAGAACCTGAAATTAGAACAAAGTTTTCACCAGAGCACATGATGCAATAAAAAAAAAATCTTACCATCCTAGCAAGATTGGAATCTGGCCTCATTCTCCTCATTCTTCTCTTATGCGTCACAGTGCTTCAGGCTTACCTGCTAGAAGCGGTGTATAAATTCATCCCATCCCGCCAATCTGGCCGTAACAATATTCATCCTTTGACACTATATAACCATTTGGGCAGAGGAGATGTTCACTGGAAGTTATCTTACTAAGTCTGTTCTATATTTTTGTCATCTAGTACAGGCTCCCAAAATGTCATATTGCATTACAAATCCTACTTCAATAAACACCTTTTGACACTAAAAATAACAAAATGCATTTATTTTTCACTGAAGACCACATTAATGAAAAAAAGCATTCGTGTTTACCTGACCCTCCTACACACCATCCACCCCCATGAATATAAATGACTGCTCTTCTCAAGGAATCAGGCTGCCCTTTAGGGAGGTACAGACGAACTGGAACACCATTAAATTCTGTGTCCATCACAGTGACCTTTTCATCAGATACTGGTGCTGTTAATTCCATGCTTGTGATCATCATCAGAATCTCCATGTGGTGCGCAAGACCCAAATTCTCAGCTAACGTAGCCTGGAAAACAAGTGGAACACTCGGATCAGTATCTTATGCAAAGAGGAAATATTTACTTTTTTATTTTATAGATAAGTAAATATAAAACACTTTTATATCCCGCGCTTCACTGTGTCTCAGAGTTGTAATACAATAAAATACAATAATGCACAGCATCAAAATATGCAGTAAATAAAATGCAAATGTAAACAGTATTAACATTTTAAATAATGGAAAAATTAAAAAAAAAAAGTTTTGGCCTAGTGCTGAAAAGAAAAAAGTGTTGGCACCAGGTACACCTCTCTGGGAAGCAGAGTAGCATACCGGTCAAGACTGTGGCTTATCCTCCTTCTTTATATTAAATACTCACCTAAAAAGTTTGGCATGCACATCATTTTTATCACCAGCCTCAAGCACTGGTATTATAATGCACTGCCTCTTCTCAGGGAGTAGGAAGCTCCCAATGTAGTGCTAAAGAGTTCACTTTCCTTTTCATGAAAGCTCACCAGAGAATTGTGTTGCATTCTTCTTATGCATAGTGCAGTAAATGGCCACCCAAGTAGGATGGCGTTACTCAGCAACAGTTTCTCCATAGCGAGCAATATCCTCTTGGAGCAATTTTGGCCCCTGCGATTTTCCTTCTTGAGGCAAAACACACAACTCTGGTATGTTTCGCTCTTAGTGATTACATTGCATCTCGCCAGAGCTTTTCTTCCCTTCTGCCCTGCAAGGGACTGCTGCACCTTGACTGGGAGGTGTGTCCAGCTGGCAGTATCTCCCTAACCCACCACCATGGGTTGAAGAAACATTTCCTAAAAGATTCTGATCAGTGCAAAATTGAGAAAGAACTGAAGCTTCTTGTTGTGACCCCAGCTATGTGGCAACTGCTCAGGAGTTCAAATTTCATGGGGCTACATGGGTCGGACAGAGTCCAGTGCAAACTCAAACCCACGAGTTCACTGCTCAGGAGATTCAGGCAGGTTGGGTAGACTCAAGAAGGACATGCACTTACTACCGCTAAAATCAGTCTAACACTGGCATGACACAACACACATTTTGCATTGTACAATGCATTTGTAGTGCCTTTTATGTATTCATGTAACACATTTTTATCCTGCTTCTTAGCCAAAAGGGCTCCCAAGGCAACATACTTACAATCCACAAAAGCAAGTCAGCCCTGCTCACACATTTAAAATCTAAAAACACACAACTCAAAAAGGAAAAAAAGTGATGGGGAGATTGTAACATTTCAGAAGGGCTGCTCTGCATCTCTTCTCCCTTCGTTTCACCCTGATGAAATGGCTGTGGGTGGTTAACAAAGGAGATTATAGCTGAGCTGAGATTAAATGTCTCCCTCTGAAGTGTAAGAGCAAATACTGCCAACTATTGTGATAGGTTTACTTTTAAGAAGTCTATTCCATATTTGTCTAGTCATATGAACATGCCAAGGTCCAGAAGAATCTGAACCCAGGTTTAACATTTCATGCTTCACGGGCAAGAAACACTCTAATAGGGTTCACTCTATCTTCTTGTTCATATTGAAATTGTTTAATAAAACTGTACACTGTCCTGTTTTTCCTGAGCCACTGAAAACTTTTTAAAAGAAAAAGATGTAGAGGAATGGCTTGTTCATAGGACTGAAGTGTTACACTGAGGGCACTTATTGCCCTACCCTGGGATTATGCTGCACCATTTTGGGGTGTTAAGGGCAGGTTCTGCCCTTAGTTGCTTCTGTACAAGAGCCATCCCTTCACACGCTTGCCAAGGCACTGCTTTTGCACAATCAATTGGAAACAAAATTAAAATGGTGGGTCCACGCAACACTAAAAAGCAAGTCCCATTCAGCAAAGATGCATTCAATGTTCCTAACAATCTTCCTGTTTCCTATTTCTGTTCCTTTGATTGCTTCCTGTTAAGTAAAGATGCATGGCAGCTAATGAATAGCTGTTTATTGTCTCATGAATAGCCTTTCTTAATTCCCCTGGCTGTCAGTTCCTGCTCCCATGGGGAAGGGGTTAACAACATAAGAACGTAAAATCCATGTTAGATCAGACCAATGGTCCAACATGGTGCTCATGCATTGTCCAATCAGCTTCCACAGGAAGCTCTCAAGCAGGACATGAGTTCAGCACAAGCCCTGGATTCCCAAATGTATTCCCAAAGTTTGGTGGAAAATAACTACTTTTCCTTTTGCCCAGCAAATGTTAATTATGCTGTATTTGCATAGGTTTATGCCATTATCACTAGTGCTTTAACAACATGGGATACCACCCTAGGGCCCATCCACTATTTCTATTTTGAACTTAAGAAGAGCCATACTGGATCAAACCAAGCATGCCTCTAGTCCAGCATTCTGTTCACACAGTGGTCAGTGGGCTGCCCACAGGCTCCCACAAGCAGGATATCAGTACAGCAGCACCTTTTTGCTCATGTTCTTCAGCAGCTGGTGCTCATAGGCATATTGCCTCTGATACTGCCTACTATCCAAGACTAGTAGCCATGGATAACCTTCTCTTCCATGAATATCCCCAATCCTGTTTTAGAGTTGACCAACTTGGTGTCTACCACTCTGCATCTTACAGAAGTAAATTCCATCACTCAGGTATATTAAGTAGAAAAGAAGAAGTGAAGTAGTAAAGAGGAAGTACTTTCTTCTAGCTGTCCTGAAGCTTCCACTAACCTGCTTCATGGTTTGATTCCTGGTTCTGATATGATGAGAGATGGGGAAAAAGTCGCAGTATCCATTTTATCCACAGTATGCATAATTTTGTACATACACGTCAATCATGCCTCCTTTTTTCTAAGATAACTGATCTCCTGCCCATATTTCTCTTCTTACCATGATAGTGAAATGGCTCTGCTCCGCTATATAGAAGTACCCTGTACCATCACACTCTTCCTCACCTCATTGACTGCTGCTTGCAAGGGAAAGTGAAATCTAAGTGTGATGCTCTTGCATCATGCATTGTCTTTTACTGGGTTACTGGGGAGACTTGGGCTCACATACTCTCTTGCCCAGGTCAGTGTGAAAACAGGTTTCAATTAACTTTCATGAAACACAATTGCTATTTGTTGGGAAAACCCTTTTCCCACAGCCACTTTCCCACTGTAAATCTCAAAGCCTCTGCCGAGTATATAACCCTTTTTTCATCCTAGAGCAGATAGGGGGTAAAAGAAAGAATGAAACATAGCTATGGGCCATCAAGTGGTTTCTCCAAGCTGTCATGCTCTTGGAGAGAAGCATTTCTAGCCTTTCTGGAAGAATTTCTTTTTGTGCTGCATTTCTGTTTTCATTTGCTCAGAAGGGGTCCCAAACACAGCTGAGAGTTTCAAAAACCTTCCAGATGCCAAAATCAGTAAGAACTCTCTTTCAGACTGCTCAAGTAGAAAGTCTACTTTGAACACATACTTAGAATCTGTAGCTGCTAGTCTGGTATGTGTAGTTACAAATGAAAAATAAAATAACTCACCCCTAACTAATGTGGGAATTGGTCATCCATATTGATGGACATAAGCATGGGCAGCACACAGCACAGAGATTAGACCCTGCAATGAATCAAGATGCCAACTCTGTCCCGAATCTGTGAAGGTAACAGGCTTAAAAAGAGCCAATAATATCTACAACAATGTTAAGGGTTTGGCCACCAGCTCATTTTTTCACTGTGATATATGTTTTATCCACCAGCAATGCCTTGGTGGAGTGTCCAAGGGCAAACAATTCAGTCTCTGTTTAAAATAATAAGTGTACACAAATCTGACATCTAAAACTACAACATTCAGAAACCAAAGGGGGCAGGAATTAACTATCCACTAAACATTGCTGCTAGGGTAAGTAGCATTGTGTTTGCTGAAATACATGTTAATTGACTAGTCAAGGGATTTTGTCAGAAATTTTCAATGACTCACAGCCAAGATGGAGACTCACAAGACCTCTACCAGCAGTAACTAACCTGATCATTGTAGTCATTTATTTATTTATTTAAAACATTTCTATGCCACCCCCATCACAACAAAGCCTCGGGGCGGCTCACAAAGAATACATAAAACATACAAAAATAATAATAATAATATAACAATTAAAAGAAGAAGAAAAAACATTTAAAAACTCCCTGGTGCATTCTCGGCTAAAAATTTTAAAATCCTAATTAATACAATAATTTAGCAATTAAAATAAGTTTTAAATAAAAAGGTCTTAGCCTTCATTTCTGTTTGATCATAATAAATAAATGAATGAATAATATTTGTTCATGTCTTACCGCTCTCAAACATCTGACATTTACCATATGTGGCTCTTCTGTTGAACAAGTTGGGTCACCTCTGTTATATAATGTATAACCACAGTCCATGTGCACATTGCAGGACCTGTGGACTTCCCAACTAAACGTTTTCAAGGTATAATGGAGATAGAGGGGTACTATATTTGAGACCCCTTCTCATTAGTATATTTAATGTAAAGCACTCAAAGCATACATAGGCCTTTTCTTGGACAATTCACAGCTAATACGAGATACTATATTTTATGCTACTTGGATCATAGAAACATAGAAACAGAGCAAGTCAGAAGGGGTCTCCCGGGCCATCTAGTCTGACCTCCGGCATCATGCCACCCAACTCTCTCTCTCTTTCTCTCTCTCTCTGGTACCAATTCATTCTCCAAAATCTCTCTTTCACTTGACTTCCCTCCCACAGGCCCTATGTTCTCACCCTTTCACAGGTTCATTCATGTTCATGTTTCCATGGTCTAACCCAAAACTCCACCATGATTGTGGAGGAAAGGCTGAAACTGACAAGAACTGCCTGAAATTGACAGCAAAGGCATTTGAGTCCATCAGGAAACAATTTTGCCAGGCCTGATTCCTCATGTAGACCTGGTTTACGTATGATAATGTCTGTCTTTTCTGAATTCCCTTCCTCTTTTGTCCTTTAATCCAGTGGTTTTCAACCTTTCAACAGCTGGGGACTGGTGAAAACAGGAAAACCACCTCAAGGACTGCTGACGCAGAAACAAAAAGCACCGTACA